TGAGTGGCAAGCGGTGGCAAGGGGGGGCTGCGCTTCCTGAGTCGAGCTGCTGGACACCGGCTTGCCTGGGCAATTGCCCATGTGCTGAGGAGGCAACAGAGCCAAAGCCCTTGGGGCTGAAGATCCAGCACGGCTGGGGAGGCTTTGGCATTTCTGCACAATGCTGCTCAATCCTGCTTGGGAGCCCAGCCTCAGGTGCGGAATGAAGCCAAGCAAGCTCGAGGGAAACTGTGTGCTGGTAAGTTGTCAGTTCTTGCTTTCTTTTTCATTCCTCATGCCTAAGAAAACCTAACTCTTTCAAGCACCTGTTTGAAGACACGGTTTGATGGACTTGATTCTGGGTGTGCTCCTTAAGCTTGTTTGGCAGCTGTTGAACCCCGCTACACTTGCAGGAGACCTATGCTCGAGTTGATGCTTGCTGTGATCAAGTGGTGTTCTTTTGCTCTTCTTTGCTTTGGGGATGGTGGGTGAGGTTGCAAAGAGTTTTCAGGAGGATTCTTCTTTTCCTTTGCAGAATCCCAGACTGCGTATTAGAGCTGATCTTCATCTCTGCTCGGAAAAGCTTCACGGGCCAAAAGAGAATGGAGATGAGGAAGGCAATGGAGAATGATGAGGACTATTTGCAGTCAGCACCCGTAAGCTTTGTGAAAGAATCAGGTGCATTTCTGTAGTGGTAGAAAGCGTAGCTGGAAAGACTTCCTAAGGACGTCAAGTCCAATTCATTGTTCTCAGTTAGAGCAATCCCGTAGTTTAGACTCCTGATAAGGTATTTGTCTGTAGGCAGCTGCCAACTTGTCCAGCTAATCCAATTCAGCCTGGAAAACAAGCAAGCAAGCAATCAATCAAAAAGCACAGAAACCTGCAGTTTATGGAGTGCAACTGTCTCCTTTCTAATCTCATGGGTTTCACCAAGTTTTGGGTGACTCCAGGGCTGGCTTGCCAGGGAGACTTTCTTGAATTGCTGGCAGATCAGCCAGAAGGGCAATACAAGGCCCTGGCTAAACACAATCTGTAGGCTGCTTCTAGATCAACAGTTTCCTTGGTTACTCCACAACCTCCACAATCTCCACTTGCTTCGAAGCTGTGAAGATTGCAAGTCCACTTTGTGTTTTTCAGCCACTCTGTGTCAAACGGTAAGAGTTTTCACTGGCTGTTAAAACAGAAAGGACAAAGAGCCCCTCCTCTGGGTCTTCAGAAGGCTCCTAAGATCCCCCAGACTGGCTAAGTAGCGACGCTCTAGTATAGATGCATCTAGATGCAGTAGAGCTAGATGGTGGGAGAGAGGCTCTAGCATGGACGTGACACGCTTTGACAGCATCTTTTCTCTGACAGCAACTTCTGCCTTGGCTCTTCCCATCAAGCCAGAGCAGTTTCTTGGCCTGCGCAACCTGCAGACTGACCTCTCGTGTGTATCCGTGCTGGACTGAGGGTAATGTTTGGAACACACACTGATGCTGTATTCACTAGAACTTTGAGAAGAGAGCGCAAGAAGCTAACCTGCATACGAGTTTCTTAGGTTTCTGTAGAGAGAGAGAGATGTACATGCATGCATATTTACTTCTGTCTTTACTTCTTTCAAGATATCTTTTGTTCTCCACAATGAATCCTCTGACTGTTACTAACGTATGGGACACACCTTGACACTCTAATGGCATAGAAATACTTTTCAGCTCATCCTTGCTATTGTTTCTGGATTGAAAAAATAATTGTGAATATGATTACCTGCTTGGAATCTTTTTTTTTTTTTTTTTTTTTTTTTAGTATATATCTATTCTATTATGAAATCCTATAAAAAGGAGTGAACTCAAGAGGAAAAAAAAAAAAAGAAAACAATTTTATATCCACTTCTAAATTAGCTCAACAAATGAAACAGTAAAAAATGCACATAATATTTCTTCTATCCCAAGATTTCATGGTACAATAGTTCTTTGCCTAACCCTGCAATAGCCCCATAGGCATTGCAATTGCTTACTTGTGTTCTTCTCCTTTGCTTGTGTTTAGTGTTTGCTTTTCTAATGTTACAACATTGGATTGATTTACCTCTTTAGGTATCAAGAGAAGAAGGCATTTGCTTCAGAGGACAGAGGACTTTGATGCTTTCCAGGGCTAATGGCCAAAGTTCTCAAAGCACTTTTTTTTCTTTTTTTTTTTTCCCCATCAGTGATTTATACATTTGTCAATCTTTCCATCTTCATTTACAACTCCGAATTTAGGTTTTAGGTGAACAAGAACCCTGAAACCAGCTGAAGCCATATCAGACATGAAGCCATATCAGACATAGTAAGGACATGTGTCTGTGAGGAAGTAATTCAGAGTGATTCTCTGGTGTCCTTTGGACAGCTTCCCTCTGGTCCTCTGCACTAAGCATCCCCAAGGGATATTTCAAAGCTCTCGGAATGATCTGTCATTCTCTCTTCCACTGGAGTCTCCATTAGAAAAGCGTGACTATTCCTTGCCCATGTGGAAAAGAAGTCCTCCTTGCGTTGTTTCTAAGCAAAACCTCTTTCTTGTGTTCTATGGACAGAAACCACTTGGCTAGACAAACTCAATCATTGCAAATGGAAGGAGTGCTTCAAAAGACGTTTAGATGTAGAGCTTAGGGATATGGTTTAGTGGGGACTGTTAGTGTTAGGTTAGAGGTTGGACTCGATGATCTTGAGGTCTCTTCCAACCTAGAAATTCTGTGATTCTGTGATTCTGTGAGTGGAACTACTTCAGCACCGTGCTTCGGCTTCTAAGCAGAACTGTAATGTAGGTGGGGACGTAGCAAGAGGACATGGCCAAGCCAGGGTGGACTTGAAAGTGCCGTGTCCGAGCCACAGCAAGAAGTCTGTGATTGCCCCTTGGAGACTGCTGCTCACCTAGTAGCACAGCAGCTGGAACGCTTCTGGATACTGCTGATGGATTGCCACGAATCAGGCAGTGACACAAGCTACGAGAACGACGGAAGTGACTGGAAGTGATGCTTCTCCCTGTTCTCCATTGCAATTTGTGAAAGAAAGGAGAAGAGAGGAGAAGAAGAAAGGAGAAGACGGGAGGGAAGGGGAGGGAATGAAGAGAACAGGAGGGAGGGGAGGGAAGGGTAAAAACGAGAATGGGAGGGGAGGGAAGGGCAGGGGAGGGCAGGGGAGTTCTGGGGAGGGCAGGGGAGGGCAGGGGAGGGCACGGGAGGGCAGGGGAGGGCAGGGGAGCAGAGTGTAGTGGAGTGTAGGGTAGTGTATGGTAGTGTAGGGTAGTGTAGGGGAGGGGATTGTTTGGTGAGGAGAGTGTAGGGGAGCGTAGGGGAGGAGAGTATAGGGGAGTGTAGGAGAGGAGTGGAATGGAGTGTAGGGAAGGGGAGTGTAGGGGAACTGAGTGAAGGGGAAGGTAGGGGAGGTGTGTGTAGGGGAGTGTAGGGGAACTGAGTGAAGAAGAGGGTAGGGGAGCAGAATGTAGGGGAGGGTAGGGGAGCAGAGTGTAGGAGAGTGTAGGGGAACTGGGTGAAGAAGAGGGTAGGGGAGCAGAGTGTAGAGGAGTGTAGGGGAGCAGTGTGTAGGGGAGGTGTGTGTAGGGGAGTGTAGGTGAGGAGAGTGTAGGGGAGTGTGTGTGGGGGGAATGTACGGGAGTATAGGGGAGGAGAGAGTCGGGGAAGGAAGTGGAGGGGATGAGAGGGAAGGGGAAGGAGGGAATATTGCCTTATTTGTTACCTTTTTACTGTCTTCGTGTAGAGCCGTGACAGGCAAAATAAACTATGTTGGTGAAAAGGACGTCTTTGTCTGGCGTGAAAAGGACGTCTTTGTCTGGCGTGATTCCCGCTCCCCCAGTTTAAATTAATCAAGAATAATCTGCTCCTGATTGAGGTCTTCCCTTACTAGTGCAGTGCTAGGACCTACGTGCTCAATGTGCTGAGGATGTGCAAGAGTCTTAGAAAACAGTCAAGTTTTCCTCCCTCCTTGCTTCTTTATGAAATAAACATGATATCATACAGCACCGGGCTGTTTTTCATGACGGAAATTCACTTCTACCCTGCACAACAAAGCTTATGATATATCCAGACCAGAGCTAAGCCGTCAGCTTGGGCAGCCACTGTCAGGCGTTCGCTTCTGTCCAGTCGCCCCTTGGGGAAGCCACTTGCACTGGTTGCTTTCCTCACAAGTTTACCAAGTTTGCGTAAAGCTCCAAAGCTCAGGCCTATGCAGACACAGACCTGCTGCTCCTTTAACACACAAGAGGGGGCTATTGTTCACAACAGCTTTTCCAGTGCTTCTCTCCGTTTTTTGTTGGAAATCCAGTCCTTGCTTGCAGATTGGCTTTTTCAATTCAGTGATTAGTGGGTACTGGAAGGTTCAAAAACAACACCTGACAATCTTGTCCATACGTAGGTAAGGAGAGATCTAAGGAAGGAACAGGTTGCAATACCTAAGGCTTATGCATCGCTCAAGCTTCCAGTTGAGCTGTGAAATCCACGCCTCAGGTCACTTGAGGTACCAGGAGTCCCTGTAGAACATACAGGGGTCTCCAGCAGTGAGGTTCCCTGAGCAGAAGGCTTCAAGAGCTCCACAGGGAATGAAAAGAAGACTTGTGATATCCATGAGGAATGTGGCTTGCTCTCGGCAATAGAGACAAATTCCTTTCTGATTAATGCTCCACCCTGCTCCACTCCAGGGACAGATGCCTATGGCAACCTGGTCCCAGTACGTAGTACTAGGATGAGGTGGCAGGGACTGTCCCCATTCATTTTCTTTCTTCAGGGTGGCCATGCATCCTCTCTGGCTGAAGGTGGGCTTCATGGACCGTGTGAAGGGGAGAGGTCTGGGGAAGGACTGAAAAACTTGAGAAATACTCCGAGGATAAATCAAAAGTTGGTTGCACTGAAGTAGATAGGAAGTGCAAATGATAGCCTGGGTAGATTTGCTGCAAAGAATCTGAAGAATCTGGGTCTGCTTGCCAGAGCACTCATCCCAGTGGCTCATGATTTCTTTTGCACAGTTTTGGTTTTTTGTTCCCCAAGTCAGGACGGAATTTTGGTAATGCTCTTACACTTACCTCATGAAAGAAAGACATGTTCTTTACTAGGTATGATTTTACCTGCTTAGATTTAGGGTACTTAGGCTATGCTATACAACTCTTCTTCACAAGAATAGTCTTCTCTATACAACTCTGTATAGTTGGTCTAATGAAATGAAAGGAACAGTGTCAATTTACAGGAACAGTGTCAATTCCAGCATTTGAAGCAGTGCTGTGGCTTCATAATTAATAGACAGCTTTAGAAGAACAGACAAAAATGATTCTATCTATCTTTATTTCCTGTGTAGATTTACTTATGTGGTTCTTTCCCATTCATACTAATCCAGCTATTCACATACAGACCGGAGTTATGCACTAAAAAATTATGTCACTCTGTCACTTTCTGTCATGATGTAATTATTGCTTACAAGCAGCAGTCAATTGAACAAAGCCTTTCACATGACTGGCTGTCTAACAACTATGCTGCTGTTGTATTTCCCAGGTGAACCACTTCAGAATTTCATAGAAGTGAAGAAGGATGCCTATATGGTATGCTATCTGGCTACCCAGGTGTAGTCTGTTGGTTCCAAAACTGCCTGTCTTCACCTTGGGCAAAAGAACACAAGGTACTCAATATTGAAAAGATACCAGATAAGCATTAGTATCTTGAGTGTCATAAGTACTCCAAGCCCGAAGGGAATTGCCACTTTTCCTCTTGGCCAGCACAGCCGTGGTGTTTTTAATATCTTGGAAAACAAAATGATCAGGTATGCTGTGAATCAGCTGGCAATTTGCTTTGTGGCTTTTCTCATGAATTCTGCATGCTTCCTTTCTTTGGAGATACTTGACTTGTACATCCAGGTCTTTCTTCTTTAAGAAAGTAGAAGCATCTCAAAAAGCAAAAAGTTACCAAGGTGTTTAAAAACAGGAGTCCAAATCTAACAGATGTAGGGATTTATAACAGAGGAAGTGGAGACAAAGATCAGCCATGAAATAGATCTGAGAAAAACACAGGTAGCAGTGTCACGTGCGGATAAAGGAAAAGAGATAACCAAATGTCTTTCTTGAAGTGGAAAAATAATGGGGAAAACAAGACTCATGGGAAAAGCAAGCATCTTAGCTGGGATTGACAATAAGTAAAAAGCTACTACGCAGAAGTCTGTAGCTGTTGTAAAGTTGCCATGCCATTTTGCAGAGCAGAACGCAAACACATCAACGTGCATTCTGGGCTTAGAGGAAGAAGCTCGTGAATTCTTGGTAGTTCTCATTCTGAAGTGAAGGGTCTGTAATGTGCATATTGAAGCAAAAGTCACACTTGTACAATATGTATAGAATTCCCTGGAGCATTTAACAAAAACGCCTGACTGGTAAGGTAGGACTGGTTAGAAATGCTCGCAAGTTGGGTGACAGCTGATGACTAGGTTACAGTGCAGAGTAACCTTGGATTTCAGATGACAACATTGCAGTTGTGCCAGAAGATAAGCTGTAGATCACCTTACACGAGCATGACATTTATTTCACCCATTCTTGTAGAAAAAGGGAAGGATTAATTCATTAGGAGGAAAGAGGCACAAGAATACAGTGTGCCTCTTTGATTTGTTCCGTACCTAGTTGACATCAAGAAATACAGACCTAGAAACCCAATGACAATCTTATCTACATCTATGTCCAAAACCTAATTTGATGGAAATCTCAGAGCATGTGCTACTACAAGACTAACAATGAAGATCCTCTGCCCAGAAGAGTCTTTCAGAAAATGCTTCTCTCTACTCCAAATCGTCTCAGAGCAGAAGCCCCTGAAAGAAAAAAGAGCCTTGCTGCAGAAACACATAGCTTTCCCAGTGAAGATTGCTCAAGACTTAGTGCTGGAAGCCTGTTGTCCGAACTGAGCAAATGACTGCTTGA